CGGCTAACGTACATGTTCTTGGTTCTTTCTTTTTTATACCTTTTTTCCCTTTGGTATTGGTTTGATTATTTGAATATCAAAACACTGATGGTTTTCGAACGAGTATAATTTCTTATACTTATAAGATTACTACTACAATATATATAATATATATATATATATATATATATATATATATATATATATATATATATATATATATATATATATATGTGTGTGTGTGTGTGTGTGTGTGTGTGTCTGTGTGTATGTGGACATTGAGAAATCGACAATCTGTTTCATGTTGAGACGCAATCTTCAGGCCATTAGAATTTCGTTTAAACCTCTAGGTGTTGACATAATGCCCACTTTTATTTTTACATACGCTCTATCCCTAATATTGAGCATTTTAACTCATATATATAGCATACCTTAAAAATACATACATATATATATATTACTAATAATTTGTTTTAGTTCTCCATGTTGACATATTGTTACATTTTTCAGAAAATAATTCTGAAGATAATTTGGATAAAAAAAAGACAATTGGAAAATATAATTACTAGCAAAAAAAAAAAAAAAATTGAAAAAAAAGACGTTACCAATGTCCAAAACGAGGCTTACACAGGAGCCTCACATTTTTAATATTTTGAATTTAATGTAACTGCAAAACATTTTTGCTTTTAAAATTGCCTTGGATTGACGAAACGCGTCGTAAACTTTTTCCACTGCCTTTTTTTATCCAAATTGTCTTATCTTCAGAAATATTCTGAGAAACGTAACATATCAATATATATATATATATATATATGTGTGTGTGTGTGTGTGTGTGTGTGTGTGTGTGTGTCGTCCACGTGTGTGTGTATGTGTTTGCGCGTGCCTACAGAGCGACACCTTGCCAGATCAGATAGATAGGTATGAATGAACCTATACGGATAGATAATACAATCGAGTTTAATACATCGAAGTGGAAGTTTCATCTACGTTGCTTTCATTATTGATAATCTTTAATAAACGCTCCCGGTTTGAAATTTATCATTTCGATGAAAAAAAAAAAAATAAATGCAGGCAACCCCGTTTCCCCTTCTTTGCTTTCCTTCCTTACTTCCTTTCCCTTCCCTTCCTTTTCCTTCCTTCCTTCCTCATTCCGGCAATTCACGAGTTGACGTCCACACTTTGGTTATCAGTCCTTATTAATAAATGCTCAGTCAAAAAATCAGTTGAACATTATATATCTTACTTATTATAAAACGCAGATTGTGTGTGTGTGTGTGTGTGTGTGTGTGTGTGTGTGTGTGTGTGTGTGTGTGTGTGTGTGTACGTTTATATATTGGATCGGATTTCCTACATTTTTCAACCGATTTCAACAAAACTTCACAGGATTGCGTAAAATTACCTTGTGATCAGAAAAACACAATTGTTTTTGCACAAAATCAATTTGAAAACACGATAAAACACGATTCTGTTGCCAGAATGAAAGGGGACAACTCATATCGAGTTATACTTATTATAAAACCCAGGTTGTTTGTTTGTGTGTGTGTGTGTGTGTGTGTGTGCGTGTGTGTGTGCGTGTGGGATCAGTTTTAAAAACCGATTTCAAAAAACTTCACTTTTTTGGGAGCAGGTAGTGTTTCTTATTGTCTTGCACACTTTTTCTTTATTTTTACATTCAGAATGCTTTAAAATTCCATTTACAAGACAATTGTTTATAATAAAATTCTATTCAATCGGTAGACTCATAACGATTGAAAACAATGTTTTGTTTGAGTTTGGGTTTGACCAATTCGTAAAAAACAAAACAAAAAACTAATTAAGACATGCGTGTCCGTCAACCTTAAACAAAATCTTTGTCAATTTTATTTTCAGTCTTTATGATGGTCGATACTTGATCTATCTCTTTGTTACATCCCCGGGCAATGCCGGGCTCTACTGCTAGTATATATATATATATATATAGTATTTACATTAGTCGGACTATTGTCCTCATCTTTGTCGCAACGTTTTGGCCGTTGTACGCTCCGGCCTTCTTCAGGTGGTTGGAATTTCGAACTGAACCCTTTATTTCGATCACTGGGATAGACTGTTCTAATTCCACGTGCCATGTTTTGATGGATGTCAGTTATCTCCTGCTAATTTTCCCTCTGAAAGTTCTCCACTGCCTTAACCAGGAATTGAACTCACCTTCTTTGGGTCTGTCACTGGATCTAACCAACGCCTTTATCCACTTGTGTCCTTGAGGATGGGTATGAACTTTAAAGTTTATAAACCCTAATGTTTTTCAGCATCATTTTTTTACCAGTGCTCATATTGCAATTTTTTGTTATCATTGCATGTTTTACCAGAGTTCATATTGCAACTTTGTTATCATTGCTTTTTCTCTGGCACTCCTTATTACTGGTTCCCATATTGTATTTATTTCTATGCTTGGTCGGCTCAGGAGATTTTGTGGCCTAATATGTGCTGATTCCTTAAGTTTACGAATTTTCCAATGGTGTTCCCTGTCTATGATCTGAACATG